CTCCGCTCGGGCACCGCGGGGCTGGGCAGCATCGCTCCCGAGCCCGGCCCCGCTCCGCTCGGGCACCGCGGGGCTGGGCAGCATCGCTCCGGTCCCGCTCCGCCCCGGGGGAAAGCCAGCGGGAGAGACTTTTCCGAGTTCTTGTGGCAAAGCAGGGGCAAAGCTGCAAAGCAAAGACGGATCCCGTTACTCCCCATGCCGGGCTCGCTCTGGGAACGGCAGCGGCGAGCAGAAGTGGCCGCAGGGACGTGCCCAGAGAACGGCCCCAGCTGCCCCCAGCAGGCAGAGCCCAGCCCAGCCGCCTCCCCAGCGCTCCCAGCACACAGGGGCGGCTGGAAATTTGTCTTGGCGTATTCGCTTTGCACGATATGGAACAACTCTCGGGGCACGCACGGGGTGGGGAATGGGTGCTGGAGCAGAAGGAGACTCAATGGGGCTCAGAGCAGAGTGAGATTTGTGCGTCAGAAGGTGGAATCCAAAAGTTTTTAGATTTGCGGGGTAAGTTTGGGAAGGAAGACTGAATCCTGATGTCCGTTTTAATTAAAGACACCCACCTTGGGAATCAAACTTATATTTTCACTCTCTTACTCCCACATTTACCTGTCTACAAGCTGATGATTCATGCCCAGAATAAAGGACATTAATTTAAAACAAAACATATAATTAAAGGAAGTAGGAGTGTCCTCCCTCAGTAAAGAAGACCTAGCACTGCAGGGAAAATGACACTGCCTCTTAGAATAATGTGAAGCAATCCTGCGGTGTGGGAAATATTGTAACGTTAAGCCAGAGGAACAGGTATTGCATTATATGATTCAAACAGTCAACTGTTCTTAATGTTCAAACCTCAGAACTCTGAAAAGAGGAAGAATTTGAGAATCAGTCAGTGGATCATCAGACTTTTTCTTTCTTTTTTTTTCATTTTATTTTTCTTTTCACATTTTAATAGGACTTTTTTGTTTGTTTCCATAACAAAAGCACCCTAACAGGTTTTCAGGCTTCAAATATTTCTAGTTCCATCTTTATCTACCAAGTTAATCTTCGGTGAATGCACTAGAGATTAAATTGGAGCTGGGCCTGGCCAGAGAGCTGGGTCTGGAGATTGTAGTTGGAGCCCATACCTTCATAAATACAAACATCTGTATTGGGTGCAAATACTGGCAAGTTGCAGTGAGCCAGGGCTTGTTCTTCTGGCTGTTTACTCCCTCATCCTGTGTCTTTATCCTGCATTCTGATCTGGCAGTTACATCCAGCGGCTGCCCCAACTGGCCCTTCCAACCCAACTCCTAAAAATCAGTCTGGTGTGTTTCCTACCCTGAACGGTCCCAGGGCCGCAGAGGCAGGAGCTGTCAGGGGGGTGACCTGCTACAGGCACAGCTGCTCTGCCTTGGCATTGCCCCAACAGGTCTCCAGCCTGCCGTGCTCCTCGGCTAAAGCCAAACGTTAAAGCCGCTTGGGAAAATTCCCAAAGAGATTTTCAAGATGTTTTTGGAGATCCGAGTTTGCCCTCCTCAAATTTCTGCCCTATTCTCTGCTGCTCTGCAGCAGAAAGTTGTATTCCTGCTCGGAGTTAATCTTCCCTAACAAAATAAAATGTCTGTGCAACTGTCATGTGAAGCAGATTCTATCAGGGCTGGCGTGGCCCACACCTGCTCTCCCGGCCAGCGCTGAGTAATCCCGCAGTCACCCCGATCACGTCAGCTGGGGTGGTAATTCAGGTTGGATGCCCAGCTTGTCCCCTCCTTCCCTTCTCCCCCTCACCTCCCTGCTCTGCCTGGATCTCTTTCAACTTCCTCCAGCTCACCTCAAATCCCAGCATCCACTCTCATGGAGCCAACGTCCGCTCTCAGCTTCTCATGGGAACCTTGTTGGCGGGACTAACCACTTATCCAAAACCCCAGCGTTCGGCAAGCAGGTTTTGAGCTAACTCTGGTCTCTTTTAAACTATTTCTGCACTTGTCACAACAAATGCATGGCCAGAAATGGGGGTTTTGAAATGGGAACAGGTGCAGAATGAGGCTCACAGGATTGAGCTGAGGCCTGGGCACACAGAGCTCTGTCCTTGCGAGTGCCTGGCTTGGCCCTGCCAGGTGTGCAGAGGCTGCTAATAATTCTCCTGGAAAAGCTCCTCAGAGGTGCTTTAGGCAGGGAGATGCAGACATTCCTGGTAAAGGGAGCCGGCACTGGCAGTAGCCCTTCTTCAGCTTGTCTCCCAACAGCAATTTTCATTAGAAAAGCAGCACTTCTGTGAAAAGCACCTTCCTTCTAGTCATTTCATGACTTCTTTTTTTTCAGAACTATTCAGCTAAGGGAGGAGACAGCAGAAGTCCCAAGTTACTTATAAGAACATAACATTTTTCAGAAAAGGATTCTGATGCAATAGCATCCAGATTCCTCTACATTCACATGTGAAACAATCCAGACACGGGGAGGAGAACAGAGGAGACCTGCATGGTGAAAAGGTGAAGGGAAGGACCTCATCCTCACTGCTCATCTCTCTCATGAACTAAACTCTGCTCTCCCTTTGTACTGTAGAAGCCTCAGATTTAGTGCTGATGGCTCAAACACTGAAATGTTTAATCAGAAGGTCTCTGGACCGAGGGTCATACACTAGAAAGAGCCTGGCTGACATTTCTGATGTTTCTTGCTCAGTTCTGTCCCATTTATTACTTCCCTGGCAGTAACTCTTAGCAGGTCAGTAGGATCATCGCGGCCGTCCTGAGCTGCGGTGTGGAACAGCAGAGGGGACAGAACAGGGCAGCGAGGGGAGAGAGCAGTGCCAGCACCTGACACTGCAGCAGTGCCTGAGATGCTGTGGGCGGTGTGCTGGGGCTGGACACCGGGAGGGGTCCCAGAGCAGTGTCCCTGCAAGCAAGCACGGCAGGTCTCTGGGGGGTAGGAGGGGACTTTGCCTAAAAGGCTGACTTAAGTAGAGCAGTGTTGCAATAAAGGCTGTAAAATAGAGAAGTAGCATTGAAATTTATTTCTGAGCACGTTGAGCACTTTCTTTCCCTTCTCCCTCGCCCCAGGTCTGTCTTTATTCAGCCTCACACCATATGCCAACAACAACTCACCAGCTGTACCTGGTACAGGTTTGAAACCATTGCTCTCCGCTTGCTGTTCTCTGTAAAACAACAGCCCTTACGAAATGTCAGACAGGGACAATGTCTCAACTCAGAGAGAGGTCAACTCTCCTTCTGTCTGCCCCAACTCCTAGAGCAGGCTCGAGACTTTGCTTCATTTTAAGACAAAAAGGGATTGCCACACGCTTTGCGTGTCCTGCCCCGCAGCTGGATGCTGTGCTGGCAGTCCCAGGGGCAGGGAGCTCCCCCGGTGCTCGCAGGCTGTGTCTCCTGGCCTCCTTCGCTTCTTTTGTTACACACCAGAGTCCTCCCCCGAGTGCTCCCTCACCCTGTTCCCGTGTGACACGCTGATGAGCTGTGACATGGTTTTTGTTGGTCTTCTGCTGATTTTCTGCTCACCTCTGACCCAGCAGGTTTGGCCCTTGCAGCCCTGCGTTGCTCAATCCCCCTTTATCTCCACGTCGCTCTTTGCCCTACCTACGACACCTGGAGACTGACACCGGTGGGACAACATCACCCAAACCCTCCCTGACCAGACAGAAAATTTTCCAGAGCAAATTTGAGGTCAGAGCACCCACTCTGTGGCTCTGAGGAACAAAGAAAGGACGAAGAGTCAGAGCACACAAAGGCCCATGGAAGGGAGCAGGGACGAAGCATAACCCACAATCTCCATCCTGCATGGCAGAGAAAGTTCCTGCTGGAGCTGTCTGGCTGGAAGGGCTGTCAGTCTGAGCAGGGACACCGAGAGGTGACTTTGGATTTTATGAGTAGCCCATTTCCTTGTGCTTCAATAAAAATGGCAGAGAAGTTGCTGTCCACTAACTTTCCAAAAGTTCTCTGTAGCTGCCTGACATTTCCTGGGCAATTGCAGCCTCCTGCTTTGATGAATTTGTTACAGGTCATGTATTTATGACCTCTAGTGTACCCAAGTTTCAAAGGATCCATCAAGGGAAGATGAATTCTATCCTTCCAGGGTCCGCTGCGAAGTGTCAGAAGTTCCTAGTAACAGAACTTGGTATTCATTTAGGAAATTTCTAAAAGAGGAGAACTCTTCCGAGGTCCTGAGGCTGTGGAACAGACAGCTTGAACTGCATGGGGTGTATGGCCAGGGGCAGCATAAAACAAGGGAAGTCTGAGAGGGTGACAGGAGAAGGGGCTTAGGTGAAGAAATAGATTTTTTCTTTATTAAAAGTCTGTGCTTTACACTTTACACATACTTGTTTTCCATCTGCTCTCACCCTGTGTTGAGAACCACAGGGAAAGCGGGGCTGCCAGGGAATTGGTTGGGACTTGTTTGTGAGTGCTGGCACTCGGAGGAGCCCCGGGGCCGCTCTGTGTCACCTGGCTGTGCGCTGCCAGCTGGGAGCAACCACGGCGTCCTGTCCTCGCCATGGCGCGCTCCTCGGCATCTCCCAGCTTCGCAGCCAGGGCTCTGGAGGGGAGCGGCGGAGGGGCTGTTCCAGCTCCGCCCGCACCGCCGCTTTCCCGTGCCCGACAGAGTCCAGCGACAGCCGCAGCCGGTTCCTGCCCGGGCAGGAGCGGGGCCGAGCGCTCCCGGGATGCGCCAGGAGCCGGGACACGGCCGGCTGGCTCCGGCGGCACCGGCGGCACCGGCGGCACCGGCGG